ATGAATGAATGAATGAATGAATGAATGAATGAATGAATGAATGAATGAATGAATGAATGAATGAATGAATGAATGAATGAATGAATGAATGAATAAATGAATGAATAAATGAATGAATAAACATGTCAAAACTCATGTAAAATTGTGATGGCTTCACCAAATGTAAACAAATAGAGAGTAACTTTAAGATAGAAAATAAGCATTATCAACATCTCATAGTACCCAAAATATCATGTCTGAAAACATTTACATGTACAATGTATACCATATATATATAGGAAATACATGTACCTTACAACGAATATAAATCAAACACATTATACGCAATAGTAAAACGCGAGACAATAAACATTATGACCAGTCCTCTTTACAGTTACTGTACATGTATATCATGTCCAACGACCTTCGCATTGTACTTATGATATAAATTATATATAGACTATAAGTTATGACTTACAACTTAATGTACAATATATAAATCAAATATATTGTATATGACAATAAGCATTATCAATATATCATACCATATAAAGTTATGACTTCTCACTGTGCTTGTAAATGTGATCTTTATAGATGATAAATATGTCTTGAAGTTTTGCTTGACTGGAGATCTGTTTAACAGTGAGAATAAGAGGCAATTATCCCAAATCATAAAGCACTTTATTCCTGTTGAAATTTACCTCTTACGGTTGACATTTTACACGTCAGAAATAAACTTATCAAGGCGTATAGATCGCACTTTGTGGTGTAAAGGTGGGGTTAGGAGTGATTGGCGCTCCAAATGTCACCACGATCCGAGGGGGTATTGAACGCTGGTTTGCCTGGTTTCGTGGCATTTACATTTCTGCAGGTGGAATTTGGAGCTGTCAACGCAAATTTCGTCAACACCAATCTCTCTTCTGAGAATGTTATGTTTTTGGATGTGTTAGGCCACACCAATTTAACTTGGTTAACGGATTCGCCGTCTGATTTGCAAAAAAAAAAATCAGAATCAACTGCAAAATGCTCATATTTTGCCCTGAACAGTTTAAAACAGTCCTTTTCTTCCTAGTTGTTACTGTTATTCCATCTTTCAATGCAGTGGTATCATTAAAAGTTCAAAATTCATTGTTTAAATTTTGAACCAGCCTGATGTGTTGACTTCATGGCTCCTATCGTACCACTTTGGGCCATAATAGGATGCCTAGGCCTGGGTTTTTTTCGCCCGCCCGCTCCATTATTTTTCTACAAAAATCTGTTAAGTTAAACCAAGAAATTAAATTGGTGTAGCCATATGGTACATTATTGAAGAATTATCCCCAATTCAATGAGGAAAGGGTCTTGATTTTCAACCCAATTTGTGGTCTTTGTGTTCCAATCAGTGCTGCTGTGGCCAAGTATGTTTGGGTCAATAGGGCACATTTAGCAGTTTACTCACTTGAAACAACATTGAGTATATGATCATTACAACAGATTATTTTGAACAAGAAATAGCTATGCCTTCAAGTACTACAGTTATCAACCAAGGATTGAGGTGTTCAAAAAGTAATTATCCCTGGAACTGTCAAAAAGTGGAACTCACTGCTACCATGCAAGTACAGTAGGGCTATCATCACTAGATTATCAAGCTTTCAATGATGTTTACTGTTAGATGTGCAAAGGTTAGGTGTAACAGGTCAATCTGTGTAATGCAGCCAGCTGCTGCCATGACCACAAAGTTGGTGTATTACACCAAAGGACAATTATACTATACAGAAACAGAAGCTGGTGTGTTACACCGAAGGGCAGTTATACCGGCTATACAGATACAGAAGCTGGTGTGTCATGCCAAAGGGCAGTTATACTGGCTATACAGATACAGAAGCTGGTGTGTTACGCCGAAGGGCGATTATACCGCCTATACAGATACAGAAGCTGGTGTGTTACGCCGAAGGGCGGTTATACCGGCTATACAGATACAGAAGCTGGTGTGTTACGCTGAAGGGTAGTTATATATATAGTACCGGCTATACAGATACAGAAGCTGGTGTGTTATGCCGAAGGGCAGTTATACCGGCTATACAGATACAGAACTGGTGTGTTATGCTGAAGGGCAGTTATACCGGCTAAACAGATACAGAAGCTGGTGTGTTACCGCAAAGGGCGGTTACACCGGCTAAACAGATACAGAAGCTGGTGTGTTACCGCAAAGGGCAGTTATACCGGCTAAACAGGTACAGAAGCTGGTGTGTTACACCGAAGGGTTGTTATACTGGCTATACAGATACAGAAGCTGGTGTGTTACGCCGAAGGCTAGGGCAGTTATGCTGGCTATATAATATATATCATACAGAAGCTGGTGTGTTATGCCGAAGGGCAGTTATACTGGCAAAACAGATGGTTGCATTGTGTCTGGTTCAAGCCGGAGACTAGGTGTTTTGATTTACGATCATTCTAAAACCGTTACAGCAGTCATGCAGAAAGTAACTGACATCCAGTTGGACATACAAACTTTAGAACGTCATATATCCTGAGTTCTCCATCCATCAAGATCAGGGTAAAATATTAGCCTTTCCACAAACCAGGGAGTACTAAAAGTACGGAAGGTAAGGCCACACCAATTTGATTTGTTGGTTCTATGATTTTTTCAAGAAAAATTTGAAGCGACAGGGAAAAAAAAAACAGGCCAAGGCATACTATGATAGCTCCAAATGCTAGGATAGGAGCCATGATGTCAACATACCAGGTTGGTTTGCATAATGCCATGTACATGTAATTCCAACAATGAATTTCAAACTTTTAAACAAGCCACTGATGGAAAAAGTGTAAAATCAGTAACAACAAAGAAACTTCCTTCAACTATTAGGGGCAAAATATCAGCATTTTGGAGTTGACTTAGAGCCTGAAATGTTTTTTTCCATATCAGAATTAAGCGGGCTAATCCGAGAACCAACAAATTAAATTGGTGTGACCTAACAAATGTAGAACCCGGGGAAGGTGACTTGGTGGTGTGTTTTCGACAATGATGTATTCGTGGCCTTTTATTTTCCACCAGAATGATCTTTTCGATTCCCGGTCCTGTCACGGCTTAAAAGTAAAGTGGACGAAAGAGACGCGCTAGTATAGCATTACGTGGCAGGAAGATTGGGGTGTTTTTGAAATGCGAATGGAATGCCTAACTACCGTTTTCAAGCTCGAAAACGTTTTAGGGCTTTAAACTACACTGGAAAAGCTTTTAGGCAAATAGGAAAGATGCATGCATTGCTTTAGTCGACTTACAGAAGAAAAGAAAGCTAGTAATATCGAATTTGGAAACACAGCAGTCTTTGGTTCAATGTAATGCTATGCCACAGACCATGCAGACTCCAAATCTGATACAACAGAGAAACACAAAACTTAAGACATAAAAAGCAAGATGCCTAAACTTTCAAAATAGAGACCTTAAACATTGTAGGAAAAAGCCAGGTATCACTAAAACTACTGTCAAGTCTGCCACACTTGTAAAAAAAATAAATGCCACTTCTACAACTACCAAGTTAGATTCACCTCTGTATGACTGTATACAACATAATGTAAACCAACACCACAGGGTGTCTGCTACCTCACCAGTTACCATGGTGACAGACCTCTGGTCCAGGTCATTGACCTTAATTGTTTGAAAAAGAAGAAACTGAGCAAAAACAATATATTTAACAGTGACTTACAGTTTGCTACAAAACAACAAACAACATATCTTACAGTTTTCTTTTTATGTGGACAATTTACTTTAAACCATGCAAAAATCAATGGAAACAATGATGTCAACTATGAAATTTACATGCTATGGCCTAACAAGTGCATTAGTAGAAAATAGTATGTCTACCAGCATCGAATCTTTACGCCTATAATCTGGTCCCAGTTGGTGTGTTATATAAGTCTATAACATGACCTTCATGTCTACCTTTTCAGCAAACTAAATTGCAAAAAATCATACCCTGACTGAAGCTTACAGTAAGTGAATTTGCACCAAGCAGAAATTCTATGAATACATAAAATATCGGCAAACTGTCTTGAAGGTTGAATTGAAGGACATTGAGTCCGGAAAGTTTTGGATTGTGTTCTTGAACTTGGAGGTCACTGAAAATGGGATACAAAAACTAGAAAGATATAATTTTGCATCTAGCAAATGCATATGATTGTTTACCTTCACATGGTCTAGCTTAACTACTGCTCTGTTTATTCTTTCTCGAACATATTTCATATAATATAATATATGGTGACCAGCCTCTCCAACTCTGTAACCCAATACCACAGGGTGTCTGCTACATCACCAATTACCATGGTGACAGACCTCTGGTCCAGGTCATTGACCTTATTTATTCAAAGAAGAAGAAACTGAGCAAAACAATAAGTTTTCCTTCTGCAAAGGTAAACATAAAAAATGCACGGTTCTTAGTGGCAAATGTGCAGATCTTGTCACATTGGCGACACCAAATTTGTTTGTATTCTCATCAGTGTTTGGACTAATTAACTATTAGCAAGATTAATTTAAAGGAGAAATTGTCCATAAGTTTCAGAATATTAAGTAGATTAGTAATTGCAATGCTAAAATGTGTACCCCATGAGTTCCTTTATATACTTTACTGTACAACAGCTAAGTTAAATCAATGGGGAAAATATCCATAAAATTCCAAACAAGGGAGAAAATTACAATGCCAAAACATAAACCCCATGCTATTCCCATACTTTACACCAGATACCAATGTCTACTTTCTATAATTTTCAGCCGTTAAAACATGAAACTAGCAACATACATCACAGGGAATCAATTGTGTGGAATAATAAGCTCGTAAATATTGGATGTTATGTGTTTGATCATTTTTGTCCTTGCGTGGGGTACATCCGATGAAATCGTTACCATGTCGTGACAAATTACACTTGCCTGGAGCGGAATATTTTGCTGTCAAGTCTTTTAATTTGATGTGGAAATGACTTAATTATCGGGCGGCTTTGCAGATATTGGAATGTCATAATGCATCGCTGATGCTTTTGTGATCCATGTATCAATTCTATATGGCATTAATGAATACAGAATACTATGATTTCCATATAAGCATGCTATTGTATCAACTATGATATGATCCTAAATGTTTCATTCCTTGTTCTCATTTTCACATATGTAAAAGAGGAATGGTTCAAATGATTAAAATGCAAATAAACATCTACATTGTATTCAAATATGGACAACCAACAACAAACTGAGGAGACAGAAACTTACTGGGCAAGTTCTCAAGTTCAAAAGATTTCCAGATGTGCTACAGATACAATAGCTAACTATCAGTAGTTCTGACAAGTATCAAAACCAGTTCTGGCCAATTTATCCTCACAATTCCGACCACTAACTACTAGTTCTGACCAGTACCTACCAGTACTGACCAGTACCAACTGGCTCTGACCAGTTATAACCAGTTGTGACCAGTATTCACTTGTTTGGATCAGTACCTACCAGTTCTGATCAGTACCAGTTCAAACCAGACTACCTTAACTACATGTAGTTCTGACCAGTTTAGTCCAGTACCTACCAGACCAATACCCACCAGTTCATTTCAGTGTTAACCAGTTGTGACCAGCACTCACCTGTTTGACCAGTACCTACCAGTACAGACCAGTACCTTCCAGTTCTGACCAGTACCTTAGCAGTTCTTACCAGTACAGACTAGTACCTTCCAGTTCAGACCAGTACCTACCAGTTCAGACCAGTACCTACCAGTTCTGACCAGGATTCCAGCCATGCCAGCTGTCTGGGCACCACCGACATCGTCCCGGACATCCTGTGAACACAGGTAAGTAGTGGTAGGCATTCGTCAGTTTCATAGGATAAGAAATATGTCCTTAGTTACAAAAGGTACAATGCTGATGACATCATTTTAGAAACTTTTTCCATCAGGTTTGACAGAAAAAAAGGCTAGGACAATCCATGCCTGTAGCCACGGGGGTTGAGGGGGTTCGGAAGAACCCCCCCCCACAAGGCTCAAAGGTCCACTTCCACTTTTTATGTAAAGGTCCAAGATTTTTCTTGAAAAGGTAGATTGGAATCGTAAAAAAACTGCTCCCTTGAATTGAATCATTGAATCATTTATCTCTGATTTTTTTCTTGGAAATCCTCTCAAAAATGCACGAAATGCCATTTTTATAAGGTTCATTTTTCACAATTTTCAGGGGGAGCATACCCCCGGACCCCCCCCAGGAACCTCGCGCCTTCGGCGCTCAAGGTCCCCTCAAGCAGTGGGAAGAACCCCCCATTCAAAATCCTGGCTACGGGCATGCAATCATATATGTCAGGGTAGAAACTCCAACCTGGAAGAATTGGTAATTTTACCATTAGAGTCTGATCCTGATCGATGACTTTGTCAACAGAGACTCCAGTCAGGATGCTGTTAATGTGTTAGGGTCTCCCATTGACAAATCCTACATTACAAGTCAATCCATTGATCTAAAGTGACACAAATCAAAGTTAAAATCAAAGTTCTGTCTTTAAGGGAATATCTTAAAATTTATAGACCCCAATTGGGATCTCTGCCGGTTATAGAATCACTAATTCTACCAGATCAGATAGGCTCTATACTCTCACTCCTCTCATTCCTCATTGCTCTAGGCTGCTACCACAATTTATTAGTAACCCAGCCCCCCCCCATATCAAATTTCTAAAAGCCCAAAGACTGAATGCAGTTAACATTCAATGTAACAGTAATTAACCTCTGTCAGTTGTGTGACTTAATACCAAATGAATGACTGCAAATTCCTCAGGGCAGGCTCACTTCAAATATGCAGGGGTGTTAACCTCCTGCCTGCAGCCTCACTCCATAACTAATACAACTTTGGTGGCAAAAGTTCACCCTAGCAAGGGGAAGGTTAACCTTTAGCACACTGAAGCTTTTTGGCTCCCAATTCTCATTTAGTTATACTATAGGTAAGGCAGCAGGGGGAAGGTTAACCTTTAGCATGCTGAAGTAGGTTTTTGGCTACCAATTCTCTACTGGTTACAGGGTTAGGCAGTATGGAGAAGGTTAACCTTTAGCACACTGAAGTAGCTTTTTGGCTACCGATTCTCTACTGGTTACAGGGTTAGGCAGCAGGGAGAAGGTTAACCTTTAGCACACTGAAGTAGCTGTTTGGCTACCAATTCTCTACTGGATACAAGTTAGGCAGCAGGGAGTAGGTTAACCTTCGTGACGCTGAAGTCACTGATTGGCTAACAATTCTCTACTGGTTACAGGTTAGGCAGCAGGGAGAAGGTTAACCTTTAGCTAAGTTAAACTGAAGTAGGTTTTTGGCTAAAAATACTCTACTGGTTACAGGGTTAGGCAGCAGGGAGAAGGTTAACTTTTAGCACACTGAAGTAGATTTTTGGCTAACAATTCTCTGTACCTGTCTAAAAGAATACAGATGACTTAATATTTACATGTAAATTGCTAGAAATGTAACATAGATTTTTTTAATGTATAAACTATGTAACTGATGTATACAAAGGTCACCCTATAGCTAATTGACCATCTCTAATTTGGTAATTGTAGTGCTGAGTAAATGAATGGCATTTGCAATACGTCCATACAAATTAGATACAATGCCGAAAGGGAATAAGCCTTGCATAGCTATCTATACTACTACTAATTGCGACGTTATATATGGCAGATTTTCATCAACTACTGACCCATGACATAAACTTGCCAATCAGATTGGTAATAAGATATAAAGAATCAATGAGAATACAGATGGTGCCTGATTGATTGCTGTATTAAAGTGTAATAAAATGTCAGAGTTTCGGTCTATAACAGTTACTTGGCAGCAGAATTAACTGTTAACCTTGGAATATACTAGGTTCTTTGAAGGTAACATCCTATTAACATGTCATGCCGTAGCCAGGGGGTTCCGGGGGGTTCGGACCCCCCTGGCTACGGTTTGGTCCACTTTTTATGTAAAGGTCCACGATTTTTCTTGAAAAGATGGACTGGAATCCTAGAAAAACTGCTCCCTTTGTCATTGAATAAAAATTTATCTCTGATTTTTTCTTGGAAATCCTCTCAAAAATGCACGAAATGCCATTTTAGAAGGTTTATTTTTCAAAATTTTCAGGGGGAGCATGCCCCCGGACCCCCCTAGGAACCTCGCGCCTTCGGCGCTCGAGGTCCCCTCAAGCAGTGGGAAGAACCCCCCCCCATTCAAAATCCTGGCTACGGGCATGCATGTTTGCAGAATGTACTGTGTCTGCGCAAAACCCAGATTTTTTTCGATTTTTGTTGATCAGAATTTTGCCTGTTTCAGATGATATCTTGTCCAACACAACATTTGAAGACTATGTACAGATGGAATGTCATCCTAAAATACGTGAATACGACTTGAAATTAAACGAGACGTTCTGCCGAACTGCTATGCACAATACGTTATGAGTTTCACACAGGTGCAGTATGTTCTGCCGACGTGCCTGTCCTATTCATGTTAAGTTTATGACTGACTTTATTGCGATCCACATTAAGCTTCTTTTAGGAAGCTATTCTTTGCGAGGTAACTGCATGGTTTGAAAACAGGTGCTGCAATGCTGTAATAAATGATGCAGTTTAAGTTTATATCACTCTATAGCAAAGTTATATGATGCTTCAAATACTAGGATTCAGTCTAGTATGCACATGATAAAGTTGCTTGTCATGGGTCTTATACATATTGTTCATCATACACCAATTCAAAAAGAAGTCAAACCCATGCAAGACGTTTAGATTAAGAACAATAGCACTTGAAAATAGACACAATGCTACATACCCCCATATTCATTGGCTTTCAAGAGTTACATTCATCCTGCAATTAGCATTATTTTGCAATTAGCCTTTAGGCAAAAATTGTAGGTTCACAGAAATGTACACAGAACAATAAGTTGTGGCAGTTTTTGTCTAATACTGAACTGGTCTACCGTATTAATAACTGCATGTGTGGGCAATCAACTGTCAAAATCAGGTCCCACCCACCATGCAACCAAATCTAACCAAAGGAGAAAGAAAGACACAAACCCACAACTCAATCACCCAAAAAATAGCATGTTATTGTAAAAAGTCAATGCTACCAGAAAAGTCTGACCGTTTCCAAAATCATATCCTTTTTAAAGTTACTTGTCTTGAGTAACTGTAATTTTGTATTATCACCTAGAATTGTCTAACCTTCATTGATACACCCAATACTTCGGAATCCAGAAGTAACAAGACAAAAAAACAGATATTTCAGATTCTCAAGCCTTTAAAAACACAGTTTCCCACATTTTGAGAGGCAAATCATAGGGTTTAGAGTTAGAGTGGTTGTTGGTGATCCTTTGGATGTTTTTATATAATTATTATATTACCCAAGATTTTTTTTTATTATTCCATCACATGCCACAAAGTTCCTGCAATTGACCAAAAAAAAAAGGTGCTGGCTAGAGCCCTGAAGTACAAGTGCGATACCTCAGCGTTAGCATTCAATTTCACAGTCGCCTTGGTCATTTGTCAGAAGGGAATTTCGCCGGGACTATCATTTAGCATATTTTCAATTTTCCAGAAGTAGCAAGGTGGAACGTTCAATAAATACATTCATGGTGCAAACTGTGGGGGGCACGTGGGGACGTGATGAGATGACTACCAACTTCACAGCTATAACACCCAGATTAACATTAGGCCACAGCAAGTAAATTTTATGGATGACATCCTTTCTCAGACTCCAAATCTAACGCGAGCGGGCGAAAAAAACAAGGTTCCTACATTTCTAAATTTTGACTCAATCATTGTACTATTTAAATGATTTTGATTCAGTGGGAAATCACATATAAACAGCCAGTATCACATATCACAGCATCAAAGTAAGAAACAAAACATTAAATCAGAGCCTTTTCTTGTCTCCTCTCTTCATAGTTATCTGCCATCTACCTTCCGGCATGGCAATAGACATCTTTGCCCATTTTCGGCATGTTGACCACTGTCAGAAGGCAACAAATTTTTTTTTTTCCAAAATCAGGCGAAAATTTATGTGCGCGCTGATGTCATCCTTAAAAATTACTTGCTGTGGCCTTACTGTAAGTATGGAAAGGTTTGCTTTGGTTATATAGTTGCAGCTTCAGGACTGAAATCAACATGCTGAGAATAAATTTGTGCAGGTACATGTAGACATCAGAAATACCTGCAAAGCACCAATCTAACCTTCTCCCTGCTGCCTAACCCCAAAACTGATACAAAATTGGTACAAAATAGCTTCCTAGGCTAGATTAACCTACACCAGGATTAAAATTACTGCAAGTCTGGAAATGTTTGCTGTTCAAGACAGAAATCACTGGAGCAAGAAATCTGTTTAAGCTGTAACAATACAGATTGTTATCTTGGAAGTTCATCTGTGTTGGTAGAAGTCATTATGAAACACATTTGAACTGCAATTTCCAACAAAAAAAAATGGCCTTACCCAAATTTTTGACTGTACAACTCCAATGTTTGTCGAGGAAATTGTTTTGAACACGAGCTGACACACCTTTCTACTTCTTCCACAATATTGAAAAAAAAAAACGCAAAAAATAAATTAATTTAGGCCTCACCATCTTAATTTGTTGGTTCTCGGATTTTTTCGTAAAAAAATATGAAGCGACAGGGCAAAAAAAGAATGAAAATAAAAACAGGTCTAGGCTTCCTAGTATTATAGCCCCAAATGATATATACGATAGGAGCTGTGAAGTCAACACAAAAGGCTGGATTAATATCTAAACAATGAATTTTGAACTTTTAATCAACCCACTGCATTGATAGATGGAAAAACTGTAACAACTAGGAAGAAAAAGACTTTCCTCAACTGTTGGGGGCAAATAAGCCTATTTGAGTAGATTCAGAACCAGAGTCTTTTTTTTTTTGCAAATCACAAAAAAAAGAAGAGGCAAATGCGAGAACCAACAAATTAAATTGGTGTGGCCTTATGGCAGTTTGAAATCAATACCAACTCCACGGCTTTAAAACCAGGATTAAGATTACTGCAAGTCTGGAAAGGTTTGCTGTTCAAGACAAAAATGAAAACACTGGGAATAAATTTGTGCAGGTACATTTACATCAGAAATACCTGCACAGCACCAATCTAACCTAATCTCCCTGCTGCCTAACTCCAAAACCGATACAAAATTGGTACAAAATAGCTTCCAAGGCAGGCTGAAGGTTAACCTACACAATCACACAGGTCATATTTCCAGCCATGAATTTTTGGATTAACACTAACTTATCAAAGCCTAAAAGGACGTGCAAGTTACTAAATATGATACAGCCAATACATGATGATTACATACTGCCCCTGAGTCTGATTGAACAGAGAAGGTATAGTATAACTTTCCCTGATGAAAGGACAGGGAATGGGGACTTAACGGGATTTCTAAGAATTCGCTTTCAAATCCCAAGGTTTAAGAGGATTTGGCAAGGAGGGTTTTACTTTACAGTATCCTATAAGTTGGGGCATGATAAGCATTTCAATTGCATGGAGGTAACACTATGATCAATGTTGGTCCTTCTGTAAGGCCACAGTCACTAAAGTAAATTTTATGGATGACATCCTCCGCAGACTCCAAATCAAATGCGAGCGGGCAAAAAAAAAAGAAGGCAGGTAAAAAAAAACAGGTTCCTACATTTAAAAATTTTGACTCAATCATTGTACAAATGGTTTTAATTCAATGGGAACATCACATATACACAGCCAACATCACATATCACTGCATCAAAGTAAGAAACAAAACATTAAATCAGAGCCTTTTCTTGTCTCCTCTCTTCATAGCTTTTTTTAACGGAGTGGTTCAATGCAAGGCCTATACGGCCACTTCTTGGCATTGAACAAAAAATATCATAGAGACAAACATGGCTATGTTAAGAGATGGCGTTGAATGTTTGATTTAAAAGCCTGTAGATTGTAGGTTGGTGGGAAACACTTGTCAGGGAGGGAATTCCAAAGCTTGGCCATAATATCTGCCATCCACCTTCCAGCATGGCAACATACATGTACATCTTTGCCCATTTTCTGCATGTTCACCTCTGTCAGAAGGCAACAAAATTTCTTGTTTTTTTTTTTTCCAAAATCAGGCGAAAATTAATGCGCGCGCTGATGTCATCCATAAAAATTACTTGCTGTGGCCTAAAGGAATGCCTGAATATGTGTTCCTGGAACTACAGGGCTCATGCTAGAACCAGTAAATTTGCCCCATACATCAGACACAAGTGTTATATTACACTTCCAAGGACATTTGACTCACTTTCAAGGTCACATACATGATATTACCTTGCAGGCCAGTATTGTAAGATTTTGGCAAACTAGAAACTTTCTGTAGAATGAAATTCTGTTTGTATCGTAAAAAATGTTTCTGCTATTTTTTTTTACATTCAAGTGTTCATACAAGTACAAATGTATGCTGCAGTACATTATGTGTTGAGCTAGTTATAGTCTGGTACTTTAAACTAAATTAAAAAATGACAGGTTTTAAATACAATTCCTACGCCAAATATTGCACTTGTACTCTGTGTATCAAAAATTATGAAAAGGTTGATAAAGCTTATTTTTGTAAATAAGTGCCAACAAAACATTTTCTCAAATAATGCTTGCAAAAAAGCTAACTCAATATTTATACTACAATAAGTGTTAGTTTAAGTTGTATCTATTAGACAGTACCATGTCAAATTAAATAAAAATTTATGCACAACTTACCAGGGGAGATTTCAACTGGGGAAAAGTAAAACTGAATTTATGAGGTTCGAAGATTCACGAAAAAAAATACTCCCCAAAAGTCTGAAAACTCTCATCTCTAGTTTCCTGTTTTTTAGGCCACACCAATTTAATTTGTTGTTTCTCGGATTTTTTTAGAAAAAATATGGAGCGACAGTGCAAAATAAAAAAAAAAACCAAGGCACCCCATGATAGCTGGAAATGTTACAATATGAGCCATGAAGTGAATATACCAGCCTGGTTTATAATTATTTAACAATAGATTTTGTACTTTTAATGAAACAAAATTGCACTGTTACATTGAAAAACAATATGCAGGAAACTAGTAATCTGTGTGAGGCAAACTCTCGCTGTCTCAGCCGTATCAGGCCCTTTCTCAGAGCACCGATCGTTGGGAAGGTTGTTAGGGTACAATTTAATCAGGCTAGGGGTACAAACTAAGATGCCTTCCACATAAAAGGGCACGACTTACAAGTAATGACTAGACAGCACCCATCCCTCAGATAATTAACCCGAGGCACATACAAGCTAGTAAAGCAAAAGGGCAAGATTACAATGTTGTAGGTACATGTAGTGGTGTAACAGCCCTTAGGCCTCACCAATTTAATTTCTTAGTTAACAGATTTTTCTAGAAAAGTAATGGAGCAGGCAGGAAAAAAATTAAATTAAAACAAACTATTATGGCCCAAAATGGTACAATAGGAGCCATGAAGTCAACACACCAGGCTGGTTCAAAATTTAAACAATGAATTTTGAACTTTTAATGATACCATTGCATTGAAAGACGGAATAACTCTAACAACTAGGAAGAAAAGGACTGTTTTCTACTGTTTAGGGAAAAGGACTGTTTTTTTTTTTCTTGCAAATCAGAAAAAATGAAGCGGGCAAATCCGTTAACCAAGAAATTGAATTGGTATGGCCTTATTTAATTACCATTACCAAGTAGGTTATGTATTTGGTGTCATTTGTTGCTTAGGTAGGTTTGTTTGTTTGTTTGTTTGTTTTTGTTTGCAGACAAGTTGAGAATACCTGGATCGATTTTTATGAAAACGAAGGGCAAGTTTAATCATCAAGTGATGATTGGATACATGTAGGTACAGGAGATAATTAACTAGAAGCACGTACCACATGTACATGTAGTACCTGGGGGAATATTGTGGATTCCTGCAGTGTGGCAGACCTTGTTGCATAATACTTTTGGGACCACATTCTTGCTCAACTCATCAACCTTAGGCCACAGCAAGGAAATTGTATGGATGATGTCCACACATACACATAAAAATTTGCCTGGTTTGAAAAAAACAAAAACTGGAAAGGTAACATTTGCAAAGCAAATGCATAACCTTTGCATATGGTCTGCTAGATGTTAATTCTTACTCAAATACATTCATAATATATGGTCAGACAGGAGTCTAAATCCCTCCTACTATAAGATTGTAACATTTTGTAACCCAACACCAGTTACCATGGTGACAGATGTCAACAAATCAGGTCATTGGCCAGATCAGATCTAGAGGTTAGTGTTTGGAGAAGAAGAGGAAACTCAGAGCAAAAACAATATATTTTCCTTCAGTAAACATAAAATTGTATGTTGATGTGTATTTGCTGCATTGACATTGCAAGAATTCGAAGTCTTGCTCTTGGTGGCAAATGTGCAGATGCTGGCACATTGGTGCACCTAATCCGTAGTGTGTTTTTGGCACACCTTTTGACAGATTACCGAAGAGGTTCAGTGGGCATCACTCTACCATACAGGGTCAGGGAATTTGTGTAAAGTGCCTTTTCAAAGGGCACAACGTTGGGGCATGGTGAGAACCTATTGCAATTGGTTCCGAGTCCAGCTCTATCCGTTGTGCCACCGATGCCACTATGCAGAGCATAGGGGTGGTGCCCATCTCCATTTCCATAGGCCTTGGGCAACACACAGTTGTGCAAGGCACTACAGCAGGGGGCTGGTCCGCTGGTAGTGCTGTGTGTTTGACCTTCCCACACTCTTTCTCATACGTGCTGAGTGCTCAGCAGAGAAAGAAGTGTGTACCATTTTTTAAAAGTCTTTGGTATGACCCGGCCGGGGTTTGAACTCACAACCTCCCGGTTACAAGGCGAGCACTCTACCAATTGACCTATTGCACCGGTCTATCTCCACACATACACATAAAAATTTGCCTGGTTTGAAATAAAAAATGTAAATGTATGTTGATGTGTATTTGCTGCATTGAAATTGCAAGAAGTCTTGCTCTTGGTGGCAAATGTGCAGATGTTGACACATTGGTGCACCAAATCCGTAGTGTGTTTTGGGCACACTTTTTGACAGATTACCGAAGAGGCTCAGTGGGCATCACTCTACCATACAGGGAGGGAATTCGTGTAAAGTGCCTTTCCAAAGGGCACAACATTAGGGCATGGTGAGAACCTATTGGTTCCGAGTCCAGCTCCATCCGTTGTGCCACCGATGCCCTAATGCAGAGCATAGGGGTGGTGCCAATCTCCATTTCCATAGCCCTTGGGCAACACACAGTTGTGCAGGGCACTACAGCAGGGGGCTGGTCCGCTGGTATTGCTGTGTGTTTGACCTTCCCACACTCTTTCTCATATGTGCTAAGTGCTAAGCAGAGAAAGAAGTGCCATTTTTAAAGTCTTTGGTATGACTCGGCCGAGGTTTGAACTCACGACCTCCCGGTTACAAAGCGAGCACTCTACCAATTGAGCTATTGTGCAGTACGTTGTGCAGTAAGACTTTAAAATGACAGTGATAATTGTTGATTTTGAAAACCCATGTCTGCTATTTCCTGTTGTAGATTGAACGGTGTTTGTACATATTTGTATATAGTGTGTTTCTGTGTACTTGTTTTGTTTTTTTAACCAATTGTAAAAATCGAATACACAATTCAGGGGTGCATCAATATTTCCTGCTTTTGTATATACGATTTTGTTTGATTGAATAAATTTATTGAAAAAGTCTTCATACTTACATCTCCTATCATAACAGCTTCTTCAGGAGCGCAACCTAATGTTTTCAGAGCTTCTCTGAAAAACATCGTCTCCGGTTTCCCCACGACTGTTGCTCGGACGTCGGTGGCGTACTCAAGACCTGTAACGAACGGCCCTGGTCCCAGGGACAGGCCGTCACTCTTCTTGTAGTACCTGGCCTTGTGGATGGCTATCAGTGGGGCTCCACCTAGCAAGAGTCTGAGGTATTGCAGAGTACCAGTCAGTGCATGTCACACCTAAATTATATCATTAAAGCTCTTCAAAGCAATTTCAGGGCAGTAAAACTGGATTTTGTAAGTCAGTTTTCCGGTCATTTTTTTAATTGTACAGTAACTGTACTTCAGGAAGCTACATGTATATTGCACTGAAAGACCTCTCACATCTAAATCATATTATTTGATTATAGCCATTCAAAGCAAGTTCAGGGCAGTAAAAATGGATTTTCAAAGTCAATTTTGCAGCCATATTTTAGTAGTCAAGGAGAATCAAGGAGGATGTATGTTTGAAACAACTCCACAGCATACTGACATCTGTGAGGCCTTGCCAATTTAATTTGTTGTTTCTCGGATTTTTCAAGAAAAAATATGAAGCGACTGGGTGAAATTTTAAAAAAAACAGGCCAAGGCACAATCCCTTGAAGGCGGAAATGTTACAATATGAGTAGTGAAGTCAACATACCAGGCTGGTTTATAATTAAAACAATGTAGATTTTGAACTTTTGATGAAATGATCAAGAAGTTGCATTATTACATTGAAAAACTTTAACAACTAAGAAGAAGAGGACTCTCTTCAACCATTGGGGCCAAAATATGTCTTTCCTTGAGCATTTTGCAGTTGATTGAGAACCTAAAATCTTTTTTTTGTGTGTGTGAATCGTAAAAAAATGGACAGGGCAACCCGAGAAACAACAAATTCAATTGGTGTGGCCTAAAGCAAAAATGCAATGTCACTGAAGATTGTAAGAGTTGCGTTAACAGATCTCCCTACCTGAATGCATCATTTAGAGGTCTGTAGTTGAACATGTCTGGTGCTAAACCAATCACTACAGCATTGGGGTTGGTAGTGTCGATACCTGAAAAGAAACAAGATTTAATATGTACAACAATTTTAGGTATACCGGTAGAGTCTTCTTTAACCAGAAATAACTAGGTGGCAAAGTTCTGCATTTGAATTCCAAACAGGCCCCAATGTTCTGCACACAACTTAAGGTACGGTCACAACCCGCCGTACGTGCTTTTTGGCCGCGTACGTTTTTTGGGAGGCTACGTCTGCACGTTTTTTTCTGAAAACTTGGGGAAGGAGTGGCATCGACACACGTCACTCGCACGTCACTCGCACAGTTTCGCAAGGTGTAAGAGTGTGGTCTGCACGCCACGTCTGACCGTGAGCGGTTGCGTGCATCGTACATTGCGCAAGTGGTAAGTGAGTTGTACGTGCTTTTAATGTAAGATCTCTGTGCGATTGCATCTTTACCGTAAGGAGGCCGTACTCACACGTGCGTCTTTCGCACGGCACGTACGGGGCACGCGCGTCGCCCGTACTCGCACGCACGGGTGGTGAATCCGTAGACCGCACGCAGAAAAAGTTTTACATGCACTTAAAGTTCTATGGCGTGTCTGCGTGCTCCCAAATCCGTAGGATTCTGTACGGAGGCGGTACTCACCACGCACGGATGCCCTATGTTTGCCCACGTTTTTGCACGTAGACAGCACGCAGAAGCACGTACGGCGGGTTGTGACCGAAGCTTTAGGCCAAAATAAGAAAGAAGATTTTCTGTACAATCATAACAACTTGCAAATTGTTTTCTCACCTTCAAAGTCCTGTAATGCTGAGTCTTGAAGAAACAACATGGGCCGAACTTTCATCTCTTCTACTAAGTTTCTTGCTGCAGTTAAAGAAGTGAAGACTTCCTCCGGCTGGATGTCAAATCCTAGCTTCTGTAATCTGAAATTCAATAGCATTTTTTAAATGTTTGCCTTCACAGAAGGAAAACATATTGTTTTTGCACTGATTCTTCTTTTCCTTCTTCACCAAATGCACACTAGTAATAAGACTGATGACTTGAATATTTAGGGTTTAATATTGTAATGTTGCTTCTGACAGAGTAGTAGTGAGTGAGTGAGTAGTGAGAGTGAGAGAGTGAGTGAGTGAGTGAGTGAGTGTGAGTGAGTGAGTGAGTGAGTGAGTGAGTGAGTGAGTGAGTGAGTGAGTGAGTGAGTGAGTGATTGAGTGTGAGTGAGTGAGTGAGTGAGTGGGTGAGGAGTGAGTGAGTAAGTGGGTGAGTGATGGAATAAGTGACTGAGTGAGAAGTAAGTGAGTGTGAGTGAGTGAGTGAGTGAGTGAGTGAGTGAGTGAGTGAGTGAGTGAGTGAGTGAGTGAGTGAGTGAGTAGAGTGAGTGCGTGCGTGAGTGAGTGAGTGATTGAGTGAGTAGAGTGAGTGCGTGCGTGCGTGCGTGAGTGAGTGAGTGAGTGAGTGAGTGAGTGAGTGAGTGAGTGAGTGAGTGAGTGAGTGAGTGAGTGAGTAAGTGAGTGAGTGAGTGAGTGAGTGTTAAAACACACCTGTTTACCAGCATCTGTTTGGACTCCTTTGTTGTGTTGGTCACAAACTTGACCTTCAGGGGACATTCCCTTAGCCTAGGTAGGAAATAAGTTGTCACATGTTACAGATGTACTTATAATTAAATTAATTATGATGATGATGATAATATATGTCAGGGCAAGGACATTACACTGTAAAATAATGTCCTTGGTCAGGGTAGGGACTCCATTTTTTTAGATTTCTGATTGATTGCTGTATTAGAGGTAATATTTTACATGTAAAGGACAGCATATATGATATTAGAGTAATAAGCACTTCATTCTGTGCTAAACCCGTCTTGTATTGTGCACAGCACTTCGACAGAACATCTTTTTTAAGGCCATATTCACATATTATATTAAGGAATCGACATTCCGTTTTCAAAGTTGTGTTGGAAACGCTATGAACTGAGTATTACCTTCTGAGGGCCTCCACAGCTCCAGGGGTGGCCGTGTCTTCCACATGGAGAGTCCCGCTCAAATCCACCAGAACTGCACACAGCTTCCTACTCATCAGGCACCTGCCTGGGACACAGGGGGCAACCAGAGGGGACTAATATAACCATCAAATCTTGGGACAAGGCACTTAGTTGGGCAGAACATATCGTATATTAGTTTAAAGGATGTGTTTTGTATAATTAGGAAGATAACCCACATACAGTCTACAACTCCTGTACATGCATGTGTCACTGTTAATATTAACACATACGTATTATATTTGCAACTTTCGTGATACTGTAGAAAACAGTATCAATAGGACTGTATATAACTAAAGATTTGTTAGCCAGGTGTCCAGTCCATCGTGGTTGGGGCGGGTTCTCTTCGGGGCTGCAGAAGCTCTTTCCCGCCCGAATCAGCTAGATTCTCCCGGTATGTTTTGCACGACGGGAGTTAGTGGTGGGGTTACTAAATCAATTCCGGGCGTGTCTAACTCTATGACATGCGTAACATGTACACTCCTACCGGGCGGTCTGTTGAGCTGGGCGGGGGAAACTATTATAGAGCCCCGAAGACAGCCTGGCCCAACCACGATAGACTGGTGCTGGATACCAGGCTACCTTTATATAATAACGTTAACCGTTACAGCCGGTTTTCTTGCTTGAATACTACTTCGAGGACATAATGGCCACGATTCAAACATAAAAAACGAGCTCAACATACCTTTGCTTAACATGAACAGTTTCCAACCTGTGGAAAAAAAGTTAAAATTCAAAAGACGTTTGCAGACGACTTTTTCCTGCAAATGTCGCGCGGGTTGTTGTTGGTCTAAGGTGAAAGAGGGCAGCAGAATGACAACATCAAATAACGATATAACCTTTCAAACTACTCCAAATCGTAAAAATATGGTTATCAAAATTTGACAAAACCAATTTTGATATGATAGTGAACACAAATCTGACCAAAATTCTCTTACCTTCTTCATTTTTGGTGTTTGCAGCAATATATTTCGCTGTATAATACATTCTCCTTTATTTTTTGGAATAGCCCATTCTGTCCCCTTTCTTTAGTTAGCTGCCTTTCTAGAAGATAAATTTTGCCTGTTGAAATATTCCACCTCTGGTGATATGATTCCCGTAACTACCCTCAAAACACGGTAAAGATGTAATAAAAATACCTAAGGTAAAGGCTAAGCTATACTATCTAATGGATAGGTGTAAACATTTTGCAAAAAAGTTCTTGCAACTCTCCGTATTTTCAGGCATTTATTTACAGTAGAGTGGGTCACCATTACGCAATTCTTTATCTTGGATCAGGGCCCTTCGTGACAAGTGTGTACACGTGCCGGTATCCGGCCACGGAATTTTGCCGGGTTTTCTAGCCTTTTTCTCCCTTCTACTTGAAGAATAACGTCGCTTGAAGTTGGTATCTAGAAAGATTGATAAAAGAGCTACCAGTAGCTGCATTTCGGACTAGGTAAGTACTATTCATGTTCTTGTCACTATGTGCCCCCCTCCCCACCGTCACTAGATTACGCAAGCTCACGTAACGTGTAGCTACCGAACTACTAAACTATAGTACTGTACGGCGTATAGATATGTATAATTCATGAAACTTTGTCCTTTAAAACCCTATATATATTATAAAGAACGCTGGTCTTTAAATATTTTTGAAAATACATGTATGTGTACGAGTACCACAAGATCATGCCAGGATTTTACTCGAAGGAACATACCTTGCTACTATAATCATGACAAGATATGTTTCTTACCTTCATTTTGTACTCATGTTGTTCACTTTTCAATTTTTTTCCAGTAGCATCAGAAATGCCTTCTCAAGCTACTAGTATACAACCAGTGTCCTCCACACCAAAGAAACGCCACTGTCCAGTCAGTGATGAGCAAACCTCATCCAAGAAACTGAAACTAAATGGCAAAACTGAAACTAGATGGCCAAACTTCACTACTACTAGTACTCGGGCAGTGAAGCCCCCTACCGACTCTGAGAGGAACTGCAGCAGTAATGAACGTTACCTCGCCATGGACTGTGAGATGGTTGGCTGCGGACCTCGAGGCTCTGTCAGCGCTCTCGCACGTTGCAGCATCGTCAGTCACAGCGGACAGACCGTATACGACAGGTACGTCAAGCCGCAACAGCGTATCACCGATTACCGCACCCCATACAGCGGTATATGTCCCAGACACATGCTGCAAGCTGTACCCTTCGCACAAGCACAAGAGGAAGTGAGGAAGATTTTACACAACAAAGTCGTGATCGGGCACGCTGTCTACAACGATTTCAAAGCGTTGGAGTTCGGTCACCCGCGCGAGCTGACCAGAGACACGTCCAGATACCCCGCGCTGAATCTTCTCGGTGGGTTTCCGGCCACAAGTCCCGTGTCCTTGAAGAGACTTTCAAGGAGCCTGTTGGGTCGTACAATTCAGCAGACGGGGCATTCGTCAGTTGAGGATGCCAGGGCTACTATGGACTTGTATAAACTAGTTCAACACAGGTGTTTAATTATTTGTTTTATTTTATGCCTGATATTTTTTTTTACTTTGCCCGATTAGAAAAATCCCATTGCAATTGTGGCATGTACGTTTTATTGTTCCTTTTCTCATCAGTCTATGGCAATTATACAATGTACATGCAGACTGCATACATTTTCACAAACACACTCTCACACTCTCTTACACTGTCTCACACCCTCTTTGTATATAACAATAGAGCTCAATAAAGCACTTCTTTCTTATGTCATTTCTAGAATACATTCTGGCTGTACTGCCAGGGCTCGAAATTAACTTTTCTTCCTATTGTCCCAGCACTGTCCCAAAAATAAATGTCAATTGTCCCGAAGTTAGGATGAACTGTCCCAACCTGTTTTTTGGGAAGTATTGTATGACTTCAACTGGAAGTCTACTTTATTTTCGTTCTGAACCCAGGCACACTATAACTGCAGAGTAGACAGGAAATTCAGGGGGACTGATAAAATAAAAGAAGGGCTGACATTCTGATGTTGGTTATTTTTCTATTGTCCCAAAAATGTCCAAAAGTGTCTTTTTAGTTGTCCCAGTCTAAATTTTAGTGGTCAGTGGCCATCAGACCACCTTTGAAGTTAATTTCGGGCCCTGACTGCTTGATGCACAAATGGAATTATGTATTAATTTCTTCTCTTTCTTATCAAACAGGTGGGAAGAAGAACTAAGAAGGAAGCAGCACTCACACCAAACCTCCAAGTTGTCAGGGTTCTCATCCTCTTCAAGGAATAACTGTCAGAAAACTACAAATTCTTCCACTCCCTCACAAAACAGTGCTTTAGTATCCCCAGGAAGCAAAAAAAATGGTTGGAATTCAAAAGCATCGTGTTCAAAGAGAATGGTAAAAACCAGATCTGTGCAAAATTTTCTCAGTGACGAGTACTGGTCAGGAGAGTTCCTATCTGTGAATCAGGGACGGTAATAAACATAGAGAAATATGAAAGTGATTGAAACATTATAAAACAACAGGTCACATGTGATATTTCTGTGTGTGTTTTATTTACACACTTTCAGTGCACTGAAGATTTAAAGTACAATGTAATTCTAAACTGTCAGCCAATGTCATAGAGCTAGCTTACAGTCCATTTCCTATCATGTACTTCAAGCAAAATCAAATCATATCCAATAAAAATATCAAATATGAATACTAGTATAGCATGTTGCTACTAGTTACATGAATAAAAAAATAAAGGTATGTAAATTTATGTCTTAATGTTATTACTTAAAAGGTGATAATTTCAATCCTACAACATCATGTGCAGTTCTAAACTTTCAATTTCTAGAAAGAAAAATATGATTCATAATCTTTGGTTTTGTTAAAAAGAATTTCATAGAAATATTAGTTATGATGAAGTTGTATTACCAGGGTTCGAAATACATCTGTACTTTGTTTGCAGGGTAGGTAGTTGGAAATAACCTGCACTTGACAAGTTTTACCTGCTTTAGATCTGCATAAAGATAGATTTCATGTAAGTATCAAACTGCGGACAGTTAAGAGAGCATTTTTTAAGTCTTCACTTAACCTTTAAAAAGTAGGCTGGATTGTTCAGCCAGCAAAGAAGATGCCCGGACCTCCCTTTACCAAACCCATCGTCTACTGAGACGGAGGGAGGCCGATGTAAAGACGGCGTTTTAATAGTCTCCCCCAGACTCCTTTGCAGGCTGAATAAATAGTAGAAATCGGCAAAGGGGGAAATCATTGGCCAGAGGAGTTGGCCGGCCATAGAGGGTCCAGTTTGCCTGCACAGAGTCTGAGGAAAGTCGCTATCCTCTTTGATGTCCACAAATGGGTTTTAAATAGGTGCGAAGTGCCAGAGTAAGCCGTTTATTGCTTTGCCTGTCAAGTGTGCAGGCAAGCTGGACCCTCTATGGCCGGCCAACTCCTCTGGCCAGTGATTTACCCCTTTGCCGATTTCTACTATTTATTCAGCCTGCAAAGGAGTCTGGTGGAGACTAGCGTTTTAATCACTGGGGCCCCTCGAGAGAAACGCATATTGGTAACCAGTTACATTTGCGCCGCGCGGGCATTGGGACTTCTGTAGCATGTCGCCATGTTGTGCTGTTATTTTACTGTCAGACTGGAGATTACTAGGAGAAGGACCAGCAGAAGTTCCCTCTTCCCAACCTTGTCTTGTCTGCAGACCGGGTGTGTTTCTTGTTGTTGCTGTTGAGGCCGAGTTTTCAATTCCGCACCCCGTCAGATTTTGTGCAACATCTGTCAAAAGCTTTCCTTTCAGGTGGACAGGGCTGTCGCATTTGAACGGCTTAGCGTCAAAGGCAATATCGTAGGACAGAATGCAGGCCTCGCACAATTCGCAATACTTGTTAGTGTTGACGCAGTTACAATCTTCTGTACTAGAAGTACGTAATTCTGGTTCAACCGGTTCCAGCAGACACTTGAGCTTGTTCATCAGCCACAGCATTGCACAGCTACAGTTAAAGGGGTTGTATTGAATGTATACCAGCGCCGAGACGTGTAAGAAAGGATGTCCCAGCTCGTGAAAGGAGAAAGAAGCTAGCCTGTTGTTAGACAAATTTACGCTCTTCAGTTTAGGCAAATTCTTCACGACAGCGTCTAAGCTGACGTGCGTAAGTCGGTTGAACTCCACATCTAGGTTTTCTAGGTTTGGTAAGTTGCGAAGAGACGCCCAGTCCACGGTTTCAATGAGGTTAAATTTCAAGACCAGTGAGTCGAGATGTTTGAGTACTGGAACTTCTGTCAGGCTCTTGATACAGTTGGATGAAAGATCCAGGCGAGTCACATCGGGTGGTACGCTTTTAGGTAGTGTTGTCAACCCTAATCTCCGACAGTTCAATGCTACCCACGAAAACAACCGACTAGTTTTGTTGTTAATTGTACAGCCTCGTGGGTAAGCGAAGCAACTCATAGAGGCAACTGCCAAGCAAAAAACAACAGTGAACCAGAACCGACTATTTCTGCTTCGTTTTGGTGACTGCAGCCCTCCATATGGAGAAAACATCTTCATTTTATTTCTTTTTTTTAGCCAAATGCGTATGAGAATAACAACCGGAAGATTGCCTTTTGTTTCTGCTTGATTATAAGATCTTTCAATAATGACAAGTACTTTTCTTGTCTGTAATCTAAAAACGACAGGAAAAGTTCACCTTCTTTGCTGTCCAGAAGAGAAACGATCAGTATGTTGCGATCGAGCGGCGTAAATGTCAGTCCCGATGTTCCCTCCTCCACTGCTTCTCCACAGAATAAAAGATATCCCAAATAAGTCTGGTAGATATCGTGCTCACCAGAATATGCATATTTTTTAAAGAACCTTACGAGTCTATGTAAGCCATGCACGTGGATACGTAGGATGTTGCATAAGATCTGACAAAAGTTTTGAGTTCTGTCAAAAGTTCATAGCCGTAGACTAATTAATATCCAGTGTTGATGCTTAAGGCCATGTTTGATTAGTATATCGGATGTGAGTAAACAACATCTGCCAGACCAGACAGAAGATTATTGTTCTGATTGCAGTCCGCGATGATATTTCCAGTCAGGGTTTAAGAAAAAAAACTAGTTTGGCAAGTGCCGTACGATTTCTCTCTCAGTTTTTGACAGGATAAAAACACAATCAACTAGGGTAGGATTGTATAAAGCTTGTCTTACATTTTCAGCTCTGGTTTTGATGTTAATTAGTACAGTACACCATATGCGTTGGCTAAACTTGAAAAAAAAGTGATGCTACTATGAAACTATGAGTAGGTAGTAGGTATGTCTCTTTGAATGTATCTCAACCTGCAAAAAGTGCAATTAATGAGACTAGAACTATAAAACACCTAGCTTGTCTTACATTTAGCAGATAAACTTCAATATAGTATTCAAAGAGGAAGAGGACTTCGTGGATAAACTTGACAAAATACAAAAAAAAAAAAGATCAGTACCGGTACGGACTTCTGTTGGGATAGCTTGAGGTTGCAGATTCTTTGATATCTTGACTGACAGCTCCACGTGTGATCAAAGAATTTGATTTGCAAAAGGAAAAATGATATTAGAAGAGACAGAAGATCACATTGCTACCTGCAGGCTATGTCGTCATCACAGAGAGTCTCTCTCATTGGTTAGCAGAGACGTGGGCGTGAAGTGCCCGGATGTGTAGCTGAAAACTTTTCACGAAAACTTTTACAGACGGAACGTTTAGGCCACAGCAAGTAAATTTTATGGATGACATCCTCCGCAGACTCCATGGCCCCCTGAGAGAAACGCATATTGGTAACCAGTTGCATTTGCGCCGCGCGGGCATTGGGACTTCTGTAGCATGTCGCCATGTTGCGCTGTTATTTTACTATCAGCCTGGAGATTACCAGTAGAAGGACCAGCAGGAGTTCCCTCTTGTACTATCTGCTGACCGGGGATGTTTGTAATTGTTGCTGTTGAGGCCGAGTTTTCAATCCCGCACCCCGTCAGATTTTGTGCAACTTCCGTCAAACGCTTTCCTTTCAGGTGGACAGGGCTATCGCATGTGAACGCCAACGCCAACTCAACGCCAAATTTACCCATAAGGTAGTAGTAGGACAGAATGCATGCCTCGCACAACTCACACTGCCTGACGAAGTCACAGTCTTCGAATTCTGTACTACAAGGTAATTCTGGTTCAACCGGTTCTAGTAGGCATTTGAGCTTGTTCATCAGCCACAACATTGCACAGCTACAGTTAAAGGGGTTGTATTGAATGTATACCAGCGCCGAGACGAGTAAGAAAGGATGTCCCAGCTCGTGAAAGGAGAAAGAAGCTAGCCTGTTGGATTTCAGATTTACGCGCTCCAGTTTGGGTAAATCTTTTACGACAGCGTTTAAGCTGACGTGCGTGAGTCGGTTGCACATCAGATCCAGGTTTTCTAGGTTTGGTAAGTTGCGAAGGGACGCCCAGTCCACGGTTTCAATGAGGTTAAATTTCAAGACCAGTGAGTCGAGATGTTTGAGTACTGGAACTTCTGTCAGGCTCTTGATACAGTTGGATGAAAGATCCAGGCGAGTCACATCGGGTGGTACGCTTTTGGGGAATGTTGTCAACCCTAATCTCCGACAGTTCAATGCTACCCACGAAAACAATCGAGTAGTTTTGTTTGTAATTATACAGCCTCGTGGGTAAGCGAAGCCTCTCATAGAGGCAACTGCCAAGCAAAAAATGACAGACCAGAACCGACTATCTCTGCTTAGTTTTGGTGACTGCGGCCCTCCATATGGAGAAAACATCTTCATTTTATTTCTTTTTTTTAGCCAAATGCGGATGAGAATAACAACCGGAAGATTGCCTTTTGTGTCTGCTTGATTACAAGATTTTTGAATGTCTGGTTCTTTCTTGTCTGTAAACTAAAAACGACAGGAAAAGTTAACCTTCTTTGCTGTCCAGAAGAGAAGCGATCAGTATGATGATGTGATCGAGCGGCGTAAATGTTAGTCCCGATGTTCCCTCCTCCTCTGCTTCTCCACAGAATAAAAGACATCCCAAATAAGTCTGGTAGATACCGTGCTCACCAGAATATGCATATTTTTTTAAGAACCTTACGAGCCTATGTAAGCCATGCACATGGATACGTAGGATGTTGCATAAGATCTGACAGAAGTTTTGAGTTCTGTCAAAAGTTCATAGCCGTAGACTAATTAATATCCAGTGTTGATGCTTAAGGCCATGTTTGATTAGTATATCGGATGTGAGTAAACAACATCTGCCAGACCAGACAGAAGATTTTTGTTCTGATTGCAGTCCGCGATGATATTTCCAGTCAGGGTTTGAGAAAAAAAACTAGTTTGGCAAGTGCCGTACGATTTGTCTCTCAGTTTTTGACAGGATAAAAACACAATCAACTAGGTTAGGATTGTATAAAGCTTGTCTTACATTTTCAGCTCTGGTTTTGATGGTAATTAGTACAGTACACCATATGCGTTGGCTAAACTTGAAAAAAGTAATGCTACTATAAAACTATGATTAGGTAGTAGGTATGTCTCTTTTAATGTATCTCAACCTGCAAAAACAACAATTAATGAGACTAGAACTATAAAACACCTAGCTTGTCTTACATTGAGCAGATAAACTTCAATATAGTATTCAAAGAGGGCTTCGTGGATAAACTTGACAAAATTTAAAAAAAAAAAAGATCAGTACCGGTACGGACTTCTGTTGGGATAGCTTGAGGTTGCAGATTCTTTGATATCTTGACTGACAGCTCCACGTGTGATCAAAGAATTTGATTTGCAAAAGGAAAAATGATATTAGAAGAGACAGAAGATCACATTGCTACCTGCAGGCTATGTCGTCATCACAGAGAGTCTCTCTCATTGGTTAGCAGAGACGTGGGCGTGAAGTGCCCGGATGTGTAGCTGAAAACTTTTCACGAAAACTTTTACAGACGGAACGTTTAGGCCACAGCAAGTAAATTTTATGGATGACATCCTCCGCAGACTCCATGCCCCCCTGAGAGAAACGCATATTGGTAACCAGTTGCATTTGCGCCGCGCGGGCATTGGAACTTCTGTAGCAGGTCGCCATGTTGCGCTGTTATTTTACTGTCAGCCTGGAGATTACCAGTAGAAGGACCAGCAGGAGTTCCCTCTTGTACTATCTGCTGACCGGGGATGTTTGTAATTGTTGCTGTTGAGGCCGAGTTTTCAATCCCGCACCCCGTCAGATTTTGTGCAACTTCCGTCAAACGCTTTCCTTTCAGGTGGACAGGGCTGTCGCATGTGAACGCCAACGCCAACTCAACGCCAAATTTACCCATAAGGTGGTAGTAGGACAGAATGCATGCCTCGCACAACTCACACTGCCTGACGAAGTCACAGTCTTCGAATTCTGTACTACAAGGTAATTCTGGTTCAACCGGTTCTAGCAGACATTTGAGCTTGTTCATCAGCCACAGCATTGCACAGCTACAGTTAAAAGGGTTGTATTGAATGAATACCATCGCCGAGACGTGTAAGAAAGGATGTCCCAGCTCTTGAAAGGAGAAAGAAGCTAGCCTGTTGGATTTCAGATTTACGCGCTCCAGTTTGGGTAAATCTTTTACGACAGCGTTTAAGCTGACGTGCGTGAGTCGGTTGCACATCAGATCCAGGTTTTCTAGGTTTGGTAAGTTGCGAAGGGACGCCCAGTCCACGGTTTCAATGAGGTTATATTTCAAGACCAGTGAATCGAGATGTTTATGTACTGGAATTTCTGTCAGGCTCTTGATACAGTTGAATGAAAGATCCAGGCGGGTCAAATAGGCCGGTACGCGTTTAAGGAATGTTGTCAACCGTAATTGCCAACAGTTCAATGATACCAACGGAAACGACCGAGTAGTTTTGTTGTTAATGGTACAGCCTTGTGGGTAAGCGAAGCAGCTCATAGAGGCAACTGCCAAGCAAAAAACGACAGTGAACCAGAACCGACTATTTCTGCTTCGTTTTGGTGACTGCAGCCCTCCATATGGAGAAAACATCTTCATTTTATTTCTTTTTTTTTAGCCAAATGCGTATGAGAATAACAACCGGAAGATTGCCTTTTGTGGCTGCTTGATTATAAGATCTTTCAATAATGACAGGTACTTTCTTGTCTGTAATCTAAAAACGACAGGAAAAGTTCACCTTTGCTGTCCAGAAGAGAAACGATCAGTATGATGTTGTGATCGAGCGGCGTAAATGTTAGTCCCGATGTTCCCTCCTCCACTGCTTTTCCACAGAATAAAAGACATTCCAAATAAGTCTGGTAGATATCGTGCTGACCAGAATATGTATAAGTTTTTTTTGTAAGAATCGTACGAGTCTATGTAAGCCATGCACATGGATACGTAGGATGTTGCATAAGATCTGACAGAAGTTTTGAGTTCTACGAATATCAAAAGTTCATAGCCGTAGACTAATTAATATCCAGTGTTGATGCTTAAGGCCATGTTTGATTAGTATATCGGATGTGAGTAAACAACATCTGCCAGACCAGACAGAAGATTTTTGTTCTGATTGCAGTCCGCGATGATATTTCCAGTCAGGGTTTGACAAAAAAAACAACAACAATAGTTTGGCAAGTGCCGTACGATTTGTCTCTCAATGTTTGATTTGATTTTATTGAAATTGCAACAGTGCAATACACGCGGGACAGAGGCAGGCTGGTGTTTTGTCCCGCACATAGAAACAAATACTGGACAGACAATACTCATTTTCACTTGAGTCTAGTGGGGAAAGTCGTGTAAAGTGTCTTTCCCAAGGGCACAAGCTCGGTGGCATGTCAGGACTCGAACCCGGGACCTCTTGATTCCGAGTCGCGCACGCTGCCGTTGCGCCACACGACCCAAATGTTCCGGAGAAGTTTTTGACAGTATCGACAGGAACCACAATCAACTAGAGTAGGATTATATACAGATTGTCTTACATTTTCAAGCTATGATTTTGATGTTACTTATTAGTATAGTATAATATGCGTTTATGGCTAAAGTAGACAAAAATAATATCACTATACAGTGATATGGTAGTCTGCCGTAAGGCATGTCCCTTTTAATGTATCGGATAGATTAAATAAATAAAGGATCCGTCCTACAAAAACTGCAATTAATGAGACTAGAACTATAAATATACATGTTTACATCTTTTCTTACATTTAGCAGATAACAAGTCGCCATAGTATACAAAGAGGTCTTCGTGGCTAGACTTGACAAAAGTAAAATTTAAAAAAAAAAAGATAAATAAAAAAAATCAGCACCGGCTTCTGTTAGGTTAGCTTGAGGCTGTAGATTCTTTTATATCTTGACTGACAGCTCCACGTGTGATCAAAGAATTTGATTTAGAAAAAGAAAAAAATCATAATATTAGGAGAAGAGACAGAAGATCACATTGCTACCTGCAGGCTATGTCGTCATCACAGAGAGTCTCTCTCATTGGTTAGCAGAGACGTGGGCGTGAAGTGCCCGGATGTGTACCTCAAAACTTTTCACAGAAACTTTTACAGACGGAACGTTTAGCTAATAAGCAGATATCATTCCCACTTTATTCATCATCATGTCATTTTAATATAAGATATTCTATCCTAGTCTTTAAACTATAGGCTCAGGAAACTGTGAGGCTTAGGAAAGATTTGGTACCAAACATTAGTTAGCCAAGGCTGTAAAGACAAATACATTATTTACTTTATTTACATAGTTAACTGTTCACACAATGATTTCACATGCAATCAAAAACAACATGACCATTCCTTATCGTTGATTTGATCACACACAGAATATGATAAATCGGAATATAGAAAATTAAAATCGACATACATAATAAAACTTAGAAAATATAGATTTAACAGCAGGCAACAAAGATTCAAAACATTCAAAACTTCATGATAACAATGAACAGACTTTTAAAATACAGGCTTATAGATATTAATCCTCTATTACAGATATCATTGTCTTTATATTGCTACTGTATATATATTATACATAATAGACAACTAATACAAATTTCGCAACATATTCTGTTAAGAATAACAATAGTGTATAACAAAAACTGTTTGCTATTTACTCCCTGCAACATATCATACCTCTTAAAATGTCTTAAGCAAAATATCAAGTAATCAAGTAAAACATTAAGCATATGAATCCGTTGTTGATTTGGAACCTCGCTTTTTGCACTCAAATCGGTACATTACATTAGTCAGCAGGTCAACTTCCTGCAGTACCGTATCCGTCCGCTGGAGGGTCTCATTCACAAAGTGGTCCGGAAGTGGTGCTTCATCTTCAGAAACGACAAAATGCACTGAAATGTTAGTTTATGTTTTGCCTTATGTAATACAATGTTTCCTATCTTGGTAATATTTGAAGAGGTTTCTTTATCAATGACTTGATAGCAAGTGCGGGGATATTCAATAGCAATATTGCGGGCGTATTTGATAGCTACTATGAGGATATTTGTCATATAATCCTAACCACATCACAAAAATGACTACTTGCTATACATGCAGCTGGTTATCATGGAAGACTAATTTTATGGTTTATTAAAAAAAGAAACAATCAGGAGCTAACAAAGACATGTGTCGGGTTCCCAGAAGTAGGTTGGTGGGAGCACTTGGACAGTGGGTCCTTAACGTGGGTAGCTATAGCTTGACACATCAGTAACGTCGAAAAGTTAAAAAAAGAAAATAGTTCAGAAAACTCTTGTCTCTCCTATATATTTTCCCTCCCTTGTTTTGATCTTGTTATACCCCAATTAAAAACAAACTGGCAAGCTGAACCAACCGTCTGCGTCTTGGGACTCGTGGCGCATGCCCAGAAGACTCCTGAAGGAGTTCCAGAAGTAATCTCCCATGGCCGTGTCCACATCAATGTCGTCAGACGTCTGACAGTAACTCAGCCAATTACACAGCATCCCCACTCCCAGGTTCATCTGTAGGAGATTAACCAAGTTGGTGGGCTCTATAAAACTTTACATTAAACAGGCAAACAAACAAACACACATAAACAGAAAGATGATATTTTTAGATATCATCTTTCTGTTTATGTGTGTTTGTGTTTGTTTGTTTGTTTGTTTGTTTATTTGTTTGTTAAAACTAGTTGGATTTGGATTTTTGTTATACAACTGACACACTTGGAGTCTTAGTGTTATTGGTAGTAACATAGGTGGGCTCCACAAACCTTTACATCACACACACACACAAACGCACACACAAACAAAAACACACACACAGACATAAGCACATACCGATAACAATACCGACGTACACGGAAGCAAAAACGTGATTTTTGACTGACCAGATAAAAGATGAAGATGATGACGAATGTAGAGTAGTACAGAGGTCCCATGACACGATCCACTGCCTTCATGTCCGCAAAGACGCCTACGAACGGCCTCCCCAGCCCCATCTCAAACAACACGTACGACGTTTTCTTGAAGCCGGAGAAGCTCTCCATGTTCTTGCCGAATATAAGGACCCCGCTGAAGCTGTAGGCCACTATAACAACCAGCATGTACAAGGAGAACCCAAAGGCTTCCCCGTATATTAGCTAGTGTATAGGGGAAGAATACAACTACTTATTTTTTTGTTTAACATATATGGGATAAACAGAATAGACTAAACGTTGACATCTGTATAGCCGGCAGGACACCTAACCATTGCACAAAGACATTTAACTGCAAACGTTGTTTAACGCTACCCATTTCGAGTGGAAATATGCTAATCTCCAAGCAGATTCTGTGGGGCAAGGGGAGTCTATATTGGCCGCCTGTATCTATATATTGGCCTCTTGTAATCGCTGACCACCCCAGCGGATACAGGCGGCCAATTTAGATTCCACTTGCCCAACAGAATCTGCTTAAAGATTAGCCTATTTGCACCCTAGATAGGTGGCGTTAAAAAACGTTTGCAGTTAATCATGACTTTGTGCAATGCAATGGTTAGGTGTGACAAGCAATTAGAAATATACAATAATTGTTGTACGTATACGTACCCGAGGCAGTGCGTAGACCGTCGCCACGCCTCTGGAGAAGTTGAGAACCCGCAGGATGCTGACGGTACTGAGGAAGATGGAGAAGGACAGGACAGCCTTGAAGGTCGCGTCCCATTGGCTGGCGGCGCTGATGTCCACAAACTCATGGATGCCGAGAAGTCCTGTGACAAATTCCGCAATGTCATGACAATCTCTAATGTTGACCAATAACCATCACTTAAAACAGCATATGATTCTTCTCTCATATGAAAACACGGATTTCAGAGTTTGCTGATGTCCACAAACTCATTGATGCCGAGAAGTACGTAGTCCTTTGAAAATTTGAGACCGACGATATCATCCCATGATTTTGCTTCATCCCTTATTCTAGTTATTAAATTGAGGGCAGTTTTCTCCATGCACCTATCTTAGTTTTCTGTTCTTCGTAACGTTTCACCTAGTGCAATACCTGTCCATCCTCGGAAATGGATAACGCTTAAGCGGATACGCTTGCTACAATATAAATATATACAGTTATGATCGTAAACTTTGGAACTTTATTCCAACACAAGCAACAAGTACAGAGAGATCAAAAATTGTGTTGGAATAAAGTTTAACATTTTACGATGATTACTATCAACACAGATGAACTTCCATGACAGTTACGATAGTTGGACAGCAAGTACCTTTTGCCTGCTGTATGTCGCTCAAAGCAGCAGCAGTCTGGATATACCGAAGCGCGAATGTCACAATGACGGCTGTGGACATGCCGATGTTGCACAGCATCAGGATGTTCCAGAAACTGCAGAAGTACAGACGACCGCTCTTCTGCACGTTCAAAATCTCGGTAAACAAGTTGTAGATGTAGACAAGAACGAAGACGATGTGAAAAATCATCTGGACGAAGTCGTGTGCTGTTTCGTACTGGAACAGCCGGAAGGTGTGGATCGTGGGCTGCATCTCAGCAGCGCCGCCTGGGAGGTACTGCAGGGTGATGGCCACGGTGCTGAACAGCTTGGCGTCTGGGTGGTAGAAGTTGATCCGGATGTTGAGGGTGTCTGAAACCATCAGGATCCAGTTGGTCTGTTTTAAGAAGTCTATCACGGTAGCAGCCTGGTCAGCGTCCTGGGGCAGGTCTATTGTGGAGAAGCACGCCGAAGTCCCGTTTCTGAAAAAGAATTACAGTCAAATGAGTAGTCCCATGTGTAATACGGTCCATGTAGACGTATGGCGACCATAGATACGTCCGTAATGCTTGTCAATGGGATAAATTATCTAAGGGATCCCAAAAGGCGGTCACATTGTCATTGGCCAGATGGTACTTAAGTAGAGATTGTATCGGTATTGAATACTGCAATCATACCTGACTTCATTGGCAATACTTGTAGTCCCATTGTGAGAACAGTTCCGTCCGTTCTGTCGGCCAACAGCTTCATTTTGTAGAAACATCTGCAGCTCAGGATAGAGCTTTTGACCCCTGTGCTCGAGATCTATGTCTATTGGGTTCTCTGGAATTTAATAGACATCAATGTGAAGTCTTGGTGTGTAGGCTATTGGATAGATACATATGCCGCAGACAGAGAGGCTTTAGAATGTTTTGTCACCTGGATATTCAGTGCTTCTCTTCAGACGTAGAGGGCTTACATACAGACTAACAACTGCAACTGCCAGATTGCCGAAAACCTTAACCTTCAACCTTTTCCCGAGCCTTCAGGAAAATGATGTCTGGCACAGAAGAAGAAGACATAGAGTGCTTCGTCACCTTTATACTCGGTAGTTCGCTCCAGGCGAACCGGTCCGATCCGGAACGCGTTGGTTCCAACCGGAAACTGTTTGTCCAGCCACCTGAGGGTCTTCCCGCTGTACCCGCGCTCCGGGTGGAGGGACGGCATCAGGTCAGACGACAGCCACTCCCAGGCACTGTCTGCTGTGGTCACCTGTAGGCGGGAAATTAACGCCACTATTTTAGTCCACAGACTCATGAGGAGGCAGCGTGAAAAGGACGTCCTATTGCGGGGACTTTTACTCATACAAATTACTTATAAATTATAGGCAGATAGTTGTTCTGATTGTCTATTAGAGAAACCATCCTGCTCTGGTCGAGAGGGGCAATTTTTTAGACCACTGTTGATCCTTGTATGGAGTATTGCTTGCATCTATGGACTACAGTACCTGTAATTTATTAATGTACAGCCTACAACTATGATTTTATTCAAAGGGCTATCATCTGGCCTCAAACTGGACTTCCCCTCTCAAAGACACAAGCTCTTTGTGTCTGTTTATGTTCCGATGACCTCTCACTTCTTTTTGCACCATTGAGAGCTTTCCAGTGTACCACCAAGTTTCCTTTTACGTCACATCATGGCACTATCCAAATACACCAAATACCAGTTTCTAAGTCTCTCAGCAACATTTTCGTTCTAAAATATGGAACTATCTCCCTCAGTATTTCTTCTACCGGGAATACAACACACAAACCTTAGAAACCAACGTTAACGTTCACCGCAATATCCTTTAATAACAACCTATACCTCCTATAAAGTTAGTTCAGTGCCAAGAAGTGGCGTTTTTGTCCTTGTAGTTAGCAAAATCGTTTGAAAAAGCCTACCTTGTCATGTCCAGACAGCAGGCTGTTCTCCAGTGAAGTCCTGACGTAGTAGGCGTGTCTGTCGAAGCCCAGAACCCCGATGTAGAAGGCATTGCCGGTGAAGATCAACAGAAACACCAGGAGGACCAGGATGTTTCTACCCTGAGTCATCCTCTCGGTCCAGTTCGGGTCATGGTCGGTTTTCTTCGGGGCTGGCGGCAAAACCCTCCGTGCAGGGACTTAACCAGAAGAACACCAATGACGTTAGCGTTATGAAATACTATATACAAAGACGTGTCAATTTTAGAGTGAATGTTACCACGCTTATAGATGTTTTGTAGACATAAAGCTTCTTTAAGCCAATACATAGCAACCACGACGCATCAAACGCAACCTTAGTGAAAAAGCTTTCAATAACTGTATTGTCGTTAATGAGTAATATTGTCATCGAAGCTCTTCCCTTTTCACGTTTCTACACATTTAAAAAACATCAAATCTATATTCGTTGTGAAACAAGGTAAGTCTGCAAAAGCGAATGGCAAAAGTGGCCGTGACAGTCTGGTCTCACATGTGAAACTCACCATCATAACCCCTGCTCTTTCTCTGAATATCACCGAGTGGAGGACGTTCTTCTTTGTCCGATAAATTCTTCCCGAAAACTCCCCGGACACAGACCGCCAAATTCCCCACAATAGGTCCGATGATGACTGCCTTACTGTAGGCGATCAGGAAAATCTGAAAAGTTCGTACATTTGTTAAGTCGCAAGCGTTTTTGGATCTTGCTTCTCCGAGATATAGTCAAATGCATCTTTCATAAATTCTCTAATATCTAGTAATGCTCGTAATACCGACCTGAATGGGCTCCACTGCGAATGTAGAGAACATGAAGGCCAGGACAAAGTCCTTCAGCCAGGCCTGGCTTCTCTCTGCTCCAAACTGCAGACTGTACACGATCACGAACAGGCTGCTGCCGACAGACGTCAGGACGGCGAGAATCCACGCTACCGTCTTAAACGGAAATCGCCAGGTGGATGGAGATGTCGGCGTTTCGTACAGACCCGAAGGGATCTGATCTACCAACGGACGCTGCTTGCGAAACATGGGCACAAGGATGGCGTACACTGGCAGGAACACCATGAACGATGTCCCTGCAACACCAGCCAGTTCCGAAAGGCGAAAAGTGACGAAGCCAGCGTCTAGCAAAACGACATCGCCGGCGCCAAGTTTGAAGCCGTACCACATGGCACTGCCCACCATCCACAGGGTGATCTGCGTCAAACAGCAGACCATCCGCTGTGCCCGGCTGAAGTGTCTCACACCGGAGTTACACACAGCCGACAGGAGCAGGTGGTCGTCGTACAAAAGGTAGGAAAACGTCGGTAGGTTGTACTCTGACATCCTAAGAGGTACAAACAACATGTTTCAAATCTAACCAACGCCCAAAACAGAAAAAAAGTAGGGGGAACTGACCACTTGAGTACGCACGCTACTATCCATACTTACCCCATTTCCCCACAAGGGGCTGCCCTCATGGTCCTGATGGTCCTTCCGTCTCCTTTGCTGGAGGAGAGCCAGGCGTTACACGGGAAATAGAACCTGCAGGGAAAGGACACAATCCAAGGGTTACAGGAACAGCATCTCTTCTTCCTAGGCCTAAGTCAACAACATCAATGCTCTAGATAACAGTGAAGACTAACCGATAACTGAGCTAAGAGGAGAAGTAGGGTTTACAAAGGCTTCCCAGCAACAATTACTGGCCCCGTTTAGACTAGGCCGAAATTAGAAATCAAAGAGCCGAAACGTACATCTGCCCACCCTTTTGATGCCAAGTGGGTCACGTCTAAAGAGGTTTAAAGCTACATATTACGTCCCTTTTTTGCTGTACGTGGTGGCAAGGATACAATAGTTCTAAGAAGACAAACTGTACCCACCCCTGTGATGTCTGTGTGTCCCAGACCTTGATGTTGTCTATGAAGAGTGACTCCATGTTGCCCTCCCCGGAGCCGTCGTGCCAGACCTGTACAGACTGGAGCTGGCCGATGGAGGAGGGAGTCGACATGATGTGGTACGTGTCACCACCTCTGGCCAGGACCTAAAGACGTTTTCAATTATGATTATTATGATTGTACATAAGATTTCTGCTTGTTCTGCGATATTTACGTGTTAAGTGACTTAGATACAAGAACAAAACATAGTTGATTAAACCGAGCTTCATCGTTTGGTCGATGGAACCATCAGGTCCACACTGTCCACTGCAAGAAACGTCTTTAAAAAAATCTTAAATGATACGTGGGTAAAGCGTGGGTAAAGGTTCCATTTTTCCATTGGAGTGAAGAAACACAACCTTCACGCATGGTCTAAGTTCTGCTGAAAGATCAAATTTCATGCGGTGGTCTTGATTAAAGAAATAGTTCTGTCCTGACATGCCACCGATCTTGTGCCCTTGGGAAAGGCACTTTACACGACTTTCCTCACTTCGCTCAGGTGTAAATGAGTATTGTACTGTCCCTCTGTTGGTGGCGGCATTAATATAAGTTGAAAAAACTTGAGTGTGCCGTCACCACGTCTTGTGATTGCATGTTTCGGAATATATATATAAAAAAAAGAAATAGTTCTCACCAAGCCATGAGGGTTGAGAGTGGCCATGGGTGTCCTGCCCGCAGACCCTGTGACCATGAGCCCGACCACAGACGCCGTTCCGGCATCAGGCTGTGTTCCCGTACGGACACACACCACGTACACGTAGTCCGCACCGGGAACTTCCGACGGGATGGTGGAGACTTTGGGAACGACCGTCGCCAGTCTGGGGCTTGCTGTGGCGAGCCTCGCTGCTTGTCCAAGGGCGAAGCTGTCGGCCACTGCGGTAGCCATAGCGGCGTGGCTCTGAAAAAGCGCAGATATTGAAATATTCAAATTAGGAGAACAATTGATGAAATAGCGGTGACGTACTCCAGTTTACAAAACTTATGTTGGCGCCACCAGTAAATGTACGTACGAACGTTAAAAAGCTTACGTGAACACAATAGAGCTTAAATGATTATACAAAATGTCATGATTTATGCCACAATGAAATGATATCACAACAAAGTGGTTTTGAAAGCCCTAGTCCAACCCCAACCCAGTAGCGAAACGTTTTTGCCTCTGTGCTTCTATGTCACTTAATAACGATACAGTTGATCTGATAGGATAGAAATATGAGCGTCCAAATTAATAACAGCTATCGTGCTTAACTTATCATTAAGTATTAAATCGTAGATTTGACGTACCCTGATGTTTATCTGCAATGTCAATAGTTGGGACACCAGAAATACCATCCACAGGGCTAAGATCGTCCCAAACACGGTATAATTTGTGGACAACTTGTCGATGTTGCTACCAAACTTGTCGAAGTCCACGAAATTTGGAACAGCCAGAAATGATGTTGCCAGAGTCACTCTGGAACTTCTCCCATGCCGTGTCATGTCGCACGTGCACCACGTGGTGTCTTCGTTCGTTTGAACCCCAACCTGCGATGCATATCGATAGCACAACGTCTCATTTAATCAATTGTCAGGATAGGATAAAAAAATGTATCAATTGTACTACTACCTGTACTTGATTAGGTCTTCTCAGCATTGTGAGTGACCTGCGTCAAAGCCATTCCTCCGTCTACACAGCGTCCTGCGCCATACAGTACTTGGTGGTATCAATTGTAAGTCAATCAAAATCAAAATCTTCTCTTTCTCTCTCTAAGTACTTTTCAATTTAAGAAGAATAAAAAAATATTTTCAAAAGGGCTATAAATGGTTACATATTACATCAAACCAACGGCTAAGATACTATCAGATCAGATAATATAATATATGAAAGTCGGCAGAACCTTGCAGCTGCGGCTGTCCCAGGTGTGGTTGTCCATTTCCCGCAGCAGACAGGAGACTACTGCAGACTGCAGCACAAACCCTGCAGAGTCGGCAGGGGGCGCTGTCGCACGGACCGCTGACGTCAGCAGTCGTCTCAGACCAGTTTGAGGCAGGTCTCCGCCTATTATATTAATTAAACATGAGAAAATATCTGTTTTCAGTCCTAGGAGATTAACAATTTCATTCAAATGTACATCTTTTCATACTGAATAATGAAAAATGTACAATTACGTTTATTGCGAATTCTTGCAGTTGATAATAATTACAAGTAAAGGACAAACACTGACGAATGATATAACATGAAGAACATCATTGAAACTTCTAATATTAGCTACAACGTAAAAGCTCATTTTGCCATTTGAAACGATGGATCAGCACCATTAAACTGCTTAAGAA